TTCTGAAGAAGGGTCTAGGCCCTAAACGTCAGCCTTCCTGCTCCTCTGATGCTGCTTGGCCTGCTGTGTTCATCCAGGTCTACACCTTGTTATCTCAGGTTCTCCAGCATCTGCAGTTCCTACTATCTCTGAAATAACAGAAAGCCACAGTTTAGATGTAGGGCTGGCAGATTTGCTGGTGTACAATGAAGGATGATGATGGAGTGAGGAAATAGACAAAATTATTCTCTCAATACAATAAAAAATAGCTTTGCTGTTCACTACAACAAATCTTCCCTTGAGCTGATGGAAAGTGCTTTGGAAATGTGAAGTAGGTACAACAGTCAGCAGCTTTCTCTCAATCATGTATCTTTGACAAACCAGTGAGCTTGTTCAGTTTGACTCTAACTGGACCCAAAGAGGAATACTTTGGCTGTAAATGGTTGCTGTCAATTCGCCTCCTCTTTGGAAATCAGTGAGGGTTAGTGTTGAAACATATGTACTTGAACCATGGCAAAAGGGAGCCTTTGTTCCAGCAAGTACCCTTTGGCAAATGATCACCTGAGCTTGTTTCTGTACCCTGGAGAAAGGATCCCAGGCGATCTGGTTTGTTTACTTCCTACTTGGCCATTGGTATCCAAAATGATATTTAAATTGGCTATGTGACCACATAACTAGAACTCAGAATGTCGGTGATAATAGTGCAAAAGGGGTTGATTGCAATGTAGCAAAAGAACATTAGTGAATAAGAGGAGTTTTTATGACAATTGACAATTACATGGTTACCATTAAGCTGACTTTTTATTCAAGCTTTTTATTGAATTGAATATTCATCTCTCCACCATCCCACTCCAGGAGAACTGTATAAGCAGCTACTGGTGTGTGTCTTACCAAAAAAAAGTAATTGAAGCCAGTCCTCAGAACGTGGCCATGCCAAAAGTCATGTCATCTTCTGATGGTCATTTGAACTCAATACAATTTGTAAAGGAACATTTAGCCCCATTTCAGTAAAGATGTAAAGTGTACAGAAATAAAAATAGTAGATTGGGGTTAAATTATTGAAGACAAATTATAATATTGCACTGTAAAAGGGATTGGAGAGCATAAATCAGCCTTATGTGGATATTGAACTTCAAACTAAAAGTAGCAAGCATGGTAAAATCATATGTAAAACATAATATGATTTATTTGTATATTTCTGTATCTTTTGCCTTGATTGTTCAGACACATCCATAGGTTACAAATAGTACTGTCTACATATGGGAACTATCATGTTATAGGCAGGTTCATGGTACATGCAGGAAGAACTACTCCATTTCAGGGGCCAATTAACTGGCAAAGGTGATGCTGACATTAAAATTTTACTTTGGTCCTTCCCCGCTTCCCTTGTAATTCTGGAGGGGCACCAAAAATGGAGAAAAGTAGGTCAAGCTGTGTTTCCTTTGATCTCCCACTGGATTTCTGGGACTGGGATGGGGTTCGAAACCTGGAAATTTTAGGTTTAAGGTAATTGGCAAAAGAACCAAAGGCGACATCAGGAATTAATAATTACATTTTGATTTGTTACGATCTGGAATGCATTTCATGGAAAACAGTTTCATCAGTAACTTGCAAAAGGGAATTGAATAAGTGCTTAAAAGAAAAGCAAAATGTAGGACTGTGGGAAAAGAAAATGGGAAAAGGGGTCTACTTAGCTTCTTCAAAAAGCTGGCACAGACTCAATGACCCGCTTCTGTGCTGTATCACTGAAATTCTGAGAGAAATCATACCTTTAGCCAAAGAGGTCTGCAGTCCCACACAAGTAGAACCCTGCCTGTTGCTACAATTATGAACTCTCTCCCTGACTGTCACGGCCATAAACACAAATTATGGAGATGTCCAATGCAATTGCAAAGCTCCAACTCAAAGCAGAGTGTACAGGAAGGATAGTATTACATGGAATAATGAGTCACAGTGCTGAAGGCTTTCTTCATTTAGAATATAATCTAATTGAATCTATTTCTTTGGGAAAAGTGGATTTCTTAGTTGCCACAGCTGAATATTTTAAAAAAGACATTTAAATAGTATTTCCCTACAGTCCCATAGATAATATCCTCTTGCTTACTCTCTTGTAATTCCCTTAGATCCTACTTTCCATGAATGTTATTTTACAAATCGTATCTGGCCAATTCATTGAAGCTGTCTTGTTTGATTATTTTACAACAAGATTTGCATTTGCAGTGATTTAAACTGAACTTGCTGTAAGGTTTATTTTTAAAAGGAGGAAGACCAAGTGGCCCACAGGTCTAGAAATCCTGTTGTTTTGAGAATTTTTTTGTAGCTGTGTACCTGGGCTAAAATCTACCTAAGCTGATGGAATGAGCAGTTTTAGGGCCCTGCAACTGAGGAAGGATGTGCTGGCGTTGGAGGGCATCCAGAGTAGGTTTACAAGAATGATCCTGGAGATGAAGGGCTTGTCATGTGAGGAGCGGTCGAGGACTCTGGGTCT